TGACTGTGACCCCCTGTGTGTGACTGTGACCCCCCCGTGTGTGACTGTGACCCCCCCGTGTGTGACTGTGACCCCCACTCACAACTCTACTGCCCTCCCCGACCGAGTTCCCCCGTGGTGTGACCGTGTTCCCCCCCCCCGTGTCCCCGCGATCCCTGAGCTGCCCCGAGTGTCCCCCCCCTCTCTCAGGAGGCCACGTTTGCGAGCTCAGGGCTCAGGGGGTGCTGGGGGACCCTCCGGCTCCCGCTCCCCGTCCTGCCCATGTGGCACCAGGACCCCCAGCCCACCCCCGCAGTCCCCACAGTGCCACCAACCCTGAGCCCCCCACGGCCGCGGGGTCCCATCCCTGTGTCCTCTCCCCGTCCCCTCCCTGTCCCAGCTCAGACGTCCCCCCGTCCCCCCGTGTCCCCCCGTGTCCCCCCAACGCTGCTCGGCCCGGGCTGCAGGTCCCGAGCCCGCCCCTGCGCCCCCCGAGGGTCCCGGCCCCGCTACCGACTGCCTGGAGCCCCCCCCGTGGCCCCCAAGGCCACCCGAGCGCCCCCAGAGCTCCCAGACCCCAACACGCGCCAACCAGTTCACTCTCTGCCCAGCCCCGCCTCCCTTATTTGCATTTAAGGCACCGCCCACAAAACAGACCCTGCCCACAAATCACCCCTTCCGCACCCCGCCCTCCTCATTGCCATACAGACCCCGCCCTCCTCATTGCCATACAGACCCCGCCCTCCTCATTGCCATACAGACCCCGCCCTCTTCATTACCATGCAGACCCCGCCCATACCCCAATCGCTCAACGCCAATTACCTGCGGGCCACACCTCCGCCAGGCCACGCCCTCTGTAGGCCCCGCCCATACCGACTCCCCCTTCCTGAGACTCCACGGCCTCCAGTGCCCCCCAGTGCCCCCCAGTGCATACCAGTGCACCCCCTACCTCCCAGTTCCCCCCAGTGCCCCCCCAAAACCCCCCACCGCCTCCCAGTTCCCCCCAGTGCCCACCAGCACCCACCGGTGCCCCATCAGCCCTCCAGTGCCTCCAGTGCCCCCCAGTGCCAGCCCAGCTCCCCACTGTCCCTCAGTGCCTCCCCCCGGGCCCCAGTGCCCCCCAGTGCCCCCCCAGTGTCCCCCAGTGCCCCCCTGGACCCTCCCAGCCTTACCATGGCCGGACCCCGGCCTTCTCCCCTGCCCAACCCCCACCCCTTGTCACCCACCCCCCCGTGACCCCCCCTTGTGTCACTCAGCCCCACACTTTACCTTTGCCACCCCCGTGTGTCCCATGTCTTCCCCCCCCGTGCCTCTCACTCCCCCCGTGCCCCCCATGTCCCTGCCACCCCCGTGTGCCCCTGCCCTCCTTTCCCCCCCCGTGTCCCCCCGTGTCCCTCATTCCCCCGTGCCCCCCGTGTCCCCCGTGCCCCTCCTGTTCCTGGTTACACTGTGCCCCCGTGCCCCCCATGTCCCTCGTGTGCCCCATGTCCCTGCCATCTCCCCGTGTCCCCACCACCCCCGTGTGCCCCTGCCCTCCTTCCCCCCCGTGCCCCCCGTGCCCCCCGCGGGAAGGACGAGCCGGGTCACAGCGCCAGTTCCGACATTGTCACGTACTTACAGTTACACCCGAGCGATGAAAACACTGTACACGGCCGGACCCCCCCGGTCGGACCCCCCCGGGCCCTCCCCCAGGTCCGGCCCCCCCCCATCCCCTCCCCCCGCCCGGGGGGCCCCCGGCTCAGCCCCCCCCGGTCCCCCCGGGGCGCTCGGGGGCGTCACAGCGGGGGTGCCCCTACATTCATGGGGGTCCCGGGGGGGACACGGGGTAGGCCCCCCCCCCCCCAGGCCGGCGGGAGGGGTCGGGGGTCCCGCCGGCGGTGCCCCCCCCGCGGGGGGAGGGGCTGGCTCTATCCTATCCTAAAGGGGTCATAAATTAACGGGTTTCCCAAGGGACGCCGAGAAAAAGGGATGTGGGGGGGGGGGGAAGGTGGGAGGGGGTCGGGGTACGGGAGGGGGGAAGGGGAGTACAAAAGGTTGTTCTAGAAAAGGGGGGGGGCGGGGTCTGCACTGCTCCTGCCACGGAGCCGGGGCTGTGCCAGGGGGTGGGGGGCACGGGGGACAGAGGGGACAGAGACTGGGGGGCACCGGGACAGGGACAAGGGAGTAGGGGGACGGGGACATGGGAGGGGGGCAGAGTGGGTGTCAGGGTGAGGGTGACTTTGGGAGGGTGGTATGGCTGGGGAGGGGGCACGGGGACGGAGCGCAGCGGGGGGGGGAAGATGGGGGGTAGGACGGGGTGATGTGGGCAGGGGGCTCTGGGGAAGGGAGGGCGTGACACGGGCAGGGGGTGGCACAAGTGAGGTGACAAGGGCAGGGGTGACACGGGCAAGGGTGACACGGGCAAGGGTGACACGGGCAGGGGTTACTCCCACCCGCAGTGTCCCCATCCCAGCTACGCCCACCCCACACTGGGGCACAACCTCCCGGGGGCGGGGACCGCTGTGGCACCGGGAGGGGACCCGGCTGGCGGTGCCACCACGCGCCCCGCAGCACGGGGGGGGTCCCTGGCACGGGCAGGGGGGGCAGGACCGGCGGAGACCCCGCCGAGGGCCGGGGGTAATAAATAGAGCATCAAAAATACAAACCGTGGGCAGGAGGCGACCCCGGGGGAGGCACCGGGACGGCCCCGGGGCCCGCGGGCACCCGCAACGCAGGGGCACCGTCGGGGGGTGGCACCGGGGTGACCCCGTCGGGAGGTGGCACCGGGGTGACCCCGGGCCTCGCGGCGGGGGCTGGGGGGGCTCCGGGCCCCTCGGGGCTATACGAGCGCCGAGCGGGGCTCGCAGGGCCCCCCCACGCTGGCGCAACTGCTGCGGCGGCGGGGGCCGGGGGTCGGGGGGCCGCCGGGGCTCAGAGGGCCGGGGGTCGGGGGGCTGCCGGGGGTCGGGGGGCTGCCGGGCCCCTCGCCGGGGCAGCCGTGCTGCAGGAGGATGTCGGAGCACTCGCGGCTGCCGGCGCGGCGGGCGTAGAACAGCGCGGTGCGGCCGTGCCCGTCCCGCGCCCGCACGTCGGCCCCGTACTGCGGGCACAGCGCGGGGGTCACCCCGGGGGCCGCAATGCCACCGCGGAGTGTCCCCCCTGGACGGACCACGTCCCCCGCGGCCGTGGCGTGGCCCCCCCGGCGCCACCCCGAGGGTCCCGTGGCGCGGTGTGGCTCGGGTGGCCGTGCCGGGATTCCCATTGCCCTGGCAGGGCCCCCGTGGCTGTGCCGTTGTCCCCAAGGCCACACCGTGTCCCCCGAGACCACACCGTGCCCCCCGTAGTCACACCACAGTCCCCGTGGCCACACTGTCCTCCCCAGGGCCATGCAAGGGTCCCTGTGACCTTTGCCCTTGCCCCACGCCCTCCACGACTGCCCCACACCCCCCATGACCACCCCACGTCACCCACAGTCACATCACAGCCCTCATGGCCACCCCATGTCCCCCAGTGGCACCCCATGTTCCCCATGACCGTGCCATCTGCCCCCTGGCCGTGCCACAGTCCCCAGACCACCCCACACCCCTGTGACCACCCCACACACCCCATGACCACCCCATGTCCCCCCTGGCCGTGCCACAGTCCCCAGACCACCCCACACCCCTGTGTGACCACCCCGCACGCCCCACAGCCACATCACAGTCCCCATGCCCGTGTCATCTCCCTCATGGTCATGCCACAGTCCCTAAGACCACCTCACCCCCCACCATGACCACACCACGTCCCCCAGAGACACTTCATGTTCCCCATGGCCATGTCATCTGCCCCCTGGCCATTCCACGGTCCCCAAACCATCCCACACCCCCATGGCCACCCCACACCCCCCATGACCTCCCCATGTCCCCCATGTCCATTCCACGGTCCCCAAACCATCCCACACCCCCATGGTCACCCCACACACCCCATGATCACCCCACATCCCCCACAGCCACATCACGGTCCCCAAACCACCCCACACCCCACTGCCACCCCACAACCCCTGTGACAACCCCATGTTCCCCATGACCATGCCATCTGCCCTCTGGCCATGCCATGGTCCCCAAACCACCCCACACCCCCATGGCCACCCCACAACCCCCGTGACCACCCCACATCTCCCACAACCACATCACAGTCCCCGTGCCCACGTCACCTCCCTCACGACCACACCACATCCCCCACGGCCGCCCCAAGACCCCACTTCCCCCCCGGCCCCCTCCCCACCTACCCAGACGAGCAGTTGGGTGACGACCACCTGGGCGGTGTCGCAGGCCACGTGCAGGGCCGTGCGGCGCTCGGAGTCCCCCGAGGGCGCGTTGAGCTGCTCCTTGTGCCCGTGGGCGAGGAACAGCAGCACCGCGGGCAGGTCCCGCTCCTGCACGGCCCCGAGCAGCCGCTCGGCCAGGGGGGCATCGGCCGCGGGCAGCGGTGCCAGGAACAGCCGCTGCTCGTACTTGGCGCGGATCCACGACTCCCGCTCCTCTCTGGGCACGGGGACAGCGGGGACACGGGGGACACGGGGGACAGGGGGTGTCAGGGACAGTGGGGTGGCACCACAGCTCCCATTCCACCCTGGGCACAGGGGCACTGCAGTGACACAGGGACAGCGGGGACACGGGGCACACGGGGTGTCAGGGACAGCAGGGTGGCACCATGGGGGGCTGGATCTACAGCTCCTGCTCCTCCCTGGGATTGGGGATGTGGAGGACACGAGGTGTCAGAGGCAGAGGGGTGGCAGGGACAGAGGGGTGGCAGGGACAGAGGGGTGGCAGGGATAACTGGGTGGCACCACAGATCCCGCTCCTCCCTGGGCATGGGGACACTGCTGTGATGGGAGGACACGGGGGTGGTAGGGACACAGAGTGGCACCCGGTGGCACAGTGGTGGGGACACGGGGGTGTCAATGTGGTGATACCACAGGGACAGGGGGAGTGGAGTCAGGGGGACATGTGGGTGAAAGGGACACAGGGTGGCACTGGGGTGGCATGGAAGGTGGGGACACAGGGGTGGCAGAGGCAGCGGGGTGGCACCACGGTGGGGTCGGATCCAGGACTCCCACTCCTCCCTGGGCATGAGGACAAGGGAACACGGGGTGTCAGGGACACAGGGTGGCACCAGGGTGGCGTGAGAGGTGGGGACACGGATGGTGTGGGAGGTGGGGACATGGGGTGTCAGGGACTGCAGTGTGGCACCATCAGGGTGTGGGGTCACGGAGCATGCGGTGCCAGGGTGTGACACCACGGGGACAGGCTGGCTGGGGACAGCGTGGCGTCAGGGATGGGAGGTGGCACAGCAGCAGCACAGTGGTGGCGACACGGGACCATCGGGGATACGGGGGGGTGACACGGAGGTGGGGACAGGCCAGGGGGACAGGCCCGGGAGGGGACACCCACCGGGAGGACTCATGGGTGGGTTTACAGCGGCCGCGCGGGTTCTGCTCCCAGATGCTGTTGGCCGTGGCGTTGCCGATGGCCGTGAGCACCAGCGTCAGCTCCCGGGGCCAATCGTCCAGGTCCAGCGAGCGCACACGCGACACATGTGTGCCCAGGTTGCGGTGGATGCCCGAGCACTCGATGCAGATCAGGGCGCCCAGGTTCAGGCTGGCCCACGTGGGGTCTGCGGGGACAGAGAGGGGGGACGTGGGTGGCCCATGGTACAGCCCGTGGCACAGCTCATGCGAGCGTGTGGCCACTGCACGGCCTGTGGCACCCCCAGGCGTGGGGCGGCCCACGGTGCAGGGCGAGGTGTGACCCAGGACACGGTGTGACCCAGGGCCTGCGTGGCACGTGGTGTGACCCAGGGTCCAGTGTGACCTGTGGTCCGTGTGTCACATGATGTGACCCAGGGCCTGGTGTGACCCAGGGCACGGTGTGATCCGTGGCCCGCATGGCACGTGGTGTGACCCAGGGCACAGTGTCCTAAATGGCATCATGTGGCATTGGTGACCCCTGACCTCACGTGGCCCGTGGCATTGTGTGGCTCATGGCACTGTGTGATCCTTGGCACGGTGTGACCTGTGGCACCATGTGGCCTGTGCCACCCATCGTGTGACCTGTGACATCACGTGGCCCATGACGTTGTGTGACACACGGTACCACACGGCCCAGGACACTACGTGGTCCGTGGCTTTGTGCCACTGACAAGCAGGGTGAGGGAGGATCACAGGCCACGCGGTGCCACGTGCAACACAATGTCACCCTGTGGCACAATGTGACACCATCCCCCGGGCTCAGGACACCGCAGGGCCCCCGTCCCCGGGTCACCCACGGCTCCGGGACGTTCCCCCTACCCCATGTCCCCCCACGTCCCCCGTGTCCCACCAGCCCCCTGCACTCACTGGGTGCCCCACAGTCCACGCAGAGCGAGTTCCCGCGGGCGTTGCGGATGGCCTGGATGGCCACGGCCTCGCTCTGGGAGTCCATGCGCGCCTGGGGGGGACATGGGGTTCAGCGGGTGGCACGGGGGGTGACACGAGGCCCCCCCAGCCCCTCCACCAGGGGGGCCCACCTTGTTCTTGCTGCTCTCGCAGCATTGCAGGCTGGCCAGGATCTGGCTCTCGATGGCCTGAACCCACGCGTCGCGCTCCTCGAAGCTGCCAGCCTCAAAGTGCCACGTCTGCCCCGTGCTCGACACGATCAGGAACTCAAAGTTCTCCTCCTCTGCGGGATCAGAGACCCCCCAGGGGGGGAGCTGGGAAGGAGGTCACTCACCCGAGGGGCACCGGGGCTGCCCCGGCCCCCTGCTCTGGCCCCCCACGCCCTCCCCTGAGCCCAAATTCCACCCCGGTCAACCCCCTCTCCGTGGTGCCCACCCCCGGTGGTGCCCACCCCCCGCCCACTCCTGGGACCCCCCGTGTGGGTTTGGGGGATGCGCTGGCGGCAGGCAAAGGGGGGGGGGCACAGCCACATGCAGGGGAGGCACCGCGGGCGCCACGTTACCTGTTTTATAAATATTTCTTAAACTACCAAAGCTTTTTAATTTCCACATTTTGCGCTTGGCTGCAGAGGGTCCAGGCAGCGGCAGCGGAGAGAGGAAACGGGGACACGGTCACAGGGGGGCCCGCGAAGCCCCCGGGGCAGTGCAGGGGGGTGGCAGGCGGTGGCACAGCGAGGGGGACATGTGGGCAGCGTGGCTGAGCGTGGCACAGAGGGGTGAGGGAGGGCGGGATCGCCTCCGGATCCTCTGTCCGTCGGAGCCCCTGGGGCGTCATCGCCGTGGTGGTGGACAGTGGCCTCATCCCCAGGGTGCCGTGGGTGACCCGGGGCTGGGGACGCACCTGTGGCACACCCACCTTCCCGTGGCACACCCACCTTCCGCCTGCCCCGCCGAGCCCTCGGTCTTGGACGGCGTCATCAGCTTCTTCCGCCGGTGCTTCTTCCTGTCCACCAGCGGGGACGGGGGGGGGTCCCTGCCCGCGCTGCCGGGGCTGGACAGGGCCTCAAAGGGGGGGTCTGCAGAGGGACCACACGTGGGGGGGCAGCAGGGGTGGCACCAGGGCGACCGAGCTCACCGGGGTCACTGTGGCCACCAGGGAGCTCCCTGGGGACATGGGGGCCACCAGGACACTGCAATCACTGGGCTCACCAGAGCCAGGGGGCTCCCGAGAACCAGAGAGGTGTCCAGGGACACTGGGGCCACCAGGGACACCAAGACCACCAGGGCCACCAAAGGCCACCAGGGACACTGGGACCACCAGGGCCACCAAGTCCATCGGGGTCACTGTGGTCACCAGGCTCACAAGAACAAGGAGATCACCAGGGACACTGGGACCACCAGGGCCACCAAAGGCCATCAGATCCCTGGACTCACCAAGCCCACCAGAGTCATCGTGGCCACCAGGGCCACCAAAGGTCACCAGGTCCCTGGGCTCACCAAACCCACCTGGCTCACTGTGGCCACCAGGGCCACCACAACCACCGGGTCCGTGAGCTCCTCAGGAGCCACCGCGCTCGGCGAGGCCACCACAGGACAGTCCCTGTCCGTACCCCGGGAGGTGGCCGCGTCCGCAGGTGCTAGTGCCGGTGGCACTCACCTGAGGAGATGAGCTTGGCCGGTGGCACTCACCTGAGGAGATGAGCTTGGCGCTGGAGGCCGAGGCGCAGCGCTGCAGCGACCGTTCACCCTTGCCCACCACCTTCAGCCCCGGCTCGGGGGGGAGGCTCAGTCCCATGGAGGGGACACCCCCTGGGGGGGAAGGACAGACAGTGACCCAGCCGTCCCCCCCCGTCCCCCCCTCACCCCCAGTGTCCCCCAGCACTCACCCCCCGGCTCGGGGTCCCGCACCAGCCCGTTGATGCTGGCCGAGGGCCCGCAGGCCGAGATGGCCCTGGGCGGGCGCTTGCCGGGCACCTTGACCGTGGTGCGGAGCAGGTCCATCTCCTTGCCGTGCGTGCTGTGGATGTAGTCCTGGGGGGGCACCGGGGGTCACACGGGGCACCCCACACCCCAGGGGGCCGCGTGGGGCCGGGGGCACTCACGTTGATGCTGGGGTGGTAGAAGAGGAGCCCGTTGCTGGACAGGGTCACGTATTTCTTCTTCCACTCCTTGTTCAGGGAGTTGCCGCTGCGCTTGAGCAGGAAGCTCTGGGGACAGGGGGCCATGAGGGCACATGGGGGGCACTGGCACCCCACCGGGGACAGGGGGCCGTGAGGGCACGTGGGGGCACTGGTACCCCACCTGTGTCCCTCGCCAGGGCCACCACCCACCTGTTTGATGGGGATGGCGCGGCCGCTGCCGGTGGCCTCTCCACGACTGTCCAGGCTGCGCTTCTCTGAGTCGCTGCCACGGCGAGTCTGCGGGGACAGGGACGGGGACAGGGCTTGGCACACGTGGCACAGCCGGGGACACCGGGGTGCCCACGTTCCCCCCACTACCGGAGTCCCGAGTTGCCACGCAGCCCATCGCTGGGCGCCCACGTGTCCCACTGTGTCACCACACCAAGGGGACACTGTGGATTCCATATGTCCCCCAGTGCCACCACCCTCATCAGGTGCCACATGTCCCCCAGTGCCACCACCCTCTCAGGGTGACACTCTGGGTACCATGTGCTGTCTACTGCCCGAGCCGCACTGTAGGGACACCCTGGGTGCCCTGGGTGCCCCCATCCCCACCCTGCCAGTGGACACTGTTGGTGCCACACGTCCCCCCGTGTCACCCCCACCAAGGGGATGCCGTGGGTGCCATGTGCCCTCCCAGGCCACCACCCTGCCAGGGGGCACCTGATGTGCCACATGTCCCTTGCTGCCGCCGCCCTGCCAGGGCGTCACCTCATGTCCCTCCCGTGTCCCCCCTGTGCCAGGCCCATGGATGTCCCCCCATGTCCCCCCGTGTCCCCCCGTGTCCCCCTGTGTATCCCTCGTGCCAGGCCCATAGGTGTCCCCCCATGTCTCCCCATGTCCCCCCGTGCCGGGCCCACGGGCACTCACTGCGAAGAGGCTGGTTCTGCGCTTGGCCCCACGGTGGAGGGAGCTGGGGGTGCCCAGGGGCGCGGGGGTCTCACTGCGCAGCTCCCGGTGGCTCACGTTGGGCGTGGATGGCAGAGAGGACGAGTAGTCGCTGGTGTGGCCACCGTTGCTGGCCTGGGGGGAGCAGGGGTTGGGTCAGCCCTGGGTTGTGGCCAGGGGGGGTCTGGGGTGGGGGTCCGGGGGGTACCTGGTTGGGGTGGACCCCTCCCACGGGGGTGGAGGCGGTCGAGTGGCTCGGGGAGCTGGGTAGGGACTTGCAGGAGGCCACGAGCTGCTGCTGCTTCTTCAGTGCCACGGCCTTCTGGGCCACTGTGAGGGACCCTCGGTCAGGGGGGATGAGACCCCCCCACCTGCCCCTGGTACGGTCCTGACACACCTGGGTATGGTGCCCACCCCCATCCCACCTGGGCGTGGTCCCCGTGTCACCCACACACGGTCCTGTGCCTTCTGGCCACCTTCCCTCAGCCCAGCTGGGACCCCACACTGCCACCACCCCACACTGCCACCAGCCCTGGCCCACCAGGCCACCAGCCCCTCTCCCCACCCCCTTTCCACCCCGGCCGCTGTCCCCACCCCACCTGGACATGGTCCCCAACCCACCTTGACAATACTCCCACCCCACCTGGATGTGGTCCTCAACCCACCTGACCACTGTCACAGCCCCTCCCACCACCCCAATCCCACGCTGGCCACTGTCCCTGTCCCACCTGGACATGGTCACTGTCCCACCTGGCTGCCACCCCCATCCCACGCTGGCCTCTGTCCCTGTCACACCACGTCCCCACCCCTCCCCCCCCCCTCCCCCAGGCCCCCCAGCCCCCCATCCCGGCCACCCACCCTCTGTGAAGACCCGGTCCACGTTGAGCCCGTACGTGGCGCAGGTCTCGTAGTAGAGGCAGCGCCGCGAGTCCCCGCAGAGCGCCCGGGCCCGCGCGTCCTCCACCGCCCGTGGGCTGGACGAGCTGATCTTGTCTGGGGGAACAGGGGTCAGCCGGGGGTCCCCCGCCCCGCTCCCCCCCCGGGGCTGCCCCGCGCCCCCCGCTCACCCTGGGTGCCCACCAGCGCCAGGGCCACGTCGCCGGTGCCGCGGAGGCCGCAGAGCAGCTCATGCAGCCGCGACACCTCCTCGAAGCTGCTCTCGCTCTCCAGGCTGAAGACCAGGATCACGGCGTCCGCCCAGTTGGCAAACTGGGGGGCCACAGGGGGGTCAGGCCCGGGCTGTGGCCGGTGTGGCCCCCCCGGCCCCCGAGCCCCACCAGCCCCTGAGCCCCCCCGTCCGTACCTGCGCATCTGGGGCTCCAGCCTCCTCCCGGATGAGCAGGAGGTGGCTCTGCCCATCGACCGTCACCTCGCGTTTGAACTGCCCGCCTGTGGCAAGGGAGGGCACCCTGCACGTGTGCTCGGCCCCCATGGCCAGCACCGGGGCCACAAATGCCCCACAGCTCTGAGCAGTACCGTGACTTTGCCAATTCCATGGTCACGTCCGTCCCCTTCACCATCTCCCTCCATGGCCACGTCCCTCCCCTTCATCACATCCCTCCCCTTCACCACGTCCCTCCCCTTCACCACGTCCATCCCCTTCACCATCTCCCCCCATGGCCACGTCCATCCCCTTCACCATCTCCCCCCGTGGTCACGTCCCTCCCCTTCACCACGTCCATCCCCTTCACCACGTCCATCCCCTTCACCATCTCCCTCCATGGTCACATCCATCCCCTTCACCACATCCGTCCCCTTCACCATCTCCCCCCAGCCACGTCCGTTCCCTTCACCACGTCCATCCCCTTCACCATCTCCCCCCGTGGCCGTGTCCACCACCATGGCTTTGTCCATCCCCAGAGCCTTGACCATCCCATGACCGCTGCCATCCATGGTCACGCCCAGCCCCATATCTGTGTCCATCCCACAACAATGTCTGTCCCACGTCCAGCCTCATATCCATGTCCATCCCATGACCGCGTCCATCCCACACCCAGCCCCGTGTCTATCCCATGACCGTGTCCATCCCCTTCTCCATCCCCATCCATGGCCATGCCCGGCATCAGGACTTTGTCCATCCCCATGACCACGTCCATGCCATGACCGTGTCCATCCCACACCCAGCCCCATGTCCATCCCATGACCGTGTCCATCCCATGGGCATGTCCAGCCCTTGTCCATCCCACGCCCAGCCCCGTGTCCATCCCATGACCGTGTCCATCCCACAGCCAGCCCCATGTCCATCCCATGACCGTGTCCATCCCACACCCAGCCTCATGTCTATCCCATGGTGATGCCCAGCCCTTGTCCATCCCACACCCAGCCTCATGTCTATCCCATGACCACGTCCATCCCATGGTGATGCCCAGCCCTTGTCCATCCCACGTCCAGCCCTATGGACATCTCCATCCCCTCCCCTCCCCATCCCCCTCCCTACCCCCACGGTCATTCCACGGTCAGGCCCCTCCCCATGGCCACGTCCATCCCACGTCCATCCCTGTGACCACATCCATTCCATGCCCAAGTCTATCCCAAGTCCACCCCATGTCCATCCCATGTCCATCCCACAGCCGCCCTGTGGCCACCCCGTGGCCACCCCGTGGCCACTCACTCTCAGTGGGCTCCAGGCACACGTAGGAGCCGGTGAGGAACCGGTGGACGAGTGCTGACTTCCCACTCTTGCTGCTGCCCAGGACACCCTGGGGGGGAACAGAGGGGTCAGGGCAGCCGAGGGCGGGGGGACACGGGGTAGGGACGTGGGGACACGGGGCAGGGACACGGGGACATGGGGCAGGGACACGGGGACACGGGGACACGGGGACACGGGGACAGGGGGACACAGGGCAGGGACACAGGAGAGGGACACGGGGCAGGGACATGGGGACACGGAGCAAGGACACGGGGACACGGGGATATGGGGCAGGGACATGCGGACACGGAGACACAGGGCAGGGACACGGGGACACGGAGCAAGGACACAGGGACACAGGAAAGGGACACAGGGACACAGGGACACAGGACAAGACATGGAGACATGGGGTAGGGACAGGGACACAGGGGACATAGGAAAGGGACACGGGGACACAGGAAAGGGACACGGGGACGTGGCACCCACCAGGCGGATCTCGGGGATGGAGCGGCCCAGGGTCCACTCCTGGCTGTTCACCAGGGCCTCTGCGGAGGGAGAGGGGTGAGACGGAGCCCAGAACCCCCCAGCAACCCCCAGCACCCCCCAGGACCCCCCAGCATCCCCTGGCACCCCCCAGCACCCCCCAGCACCCCCCAGTACCCCCCAGGACCCTCTAGGACCCCCTGGCGCCCCAATCCTGGTGAGAGCCCCCCCTGCAGCACCACGGCAGCTTCCTGCGTGGGCGGCCACCAACTGTCACCCGGCAACGGCACCGGGCCCGCGGGGGCGGCGAGGATGGGGAGACGCCACATGGGACAGGGACGGGGACGGGGACGGGGATGGGGACAGGGACAGGGTGGCACGAGGCCTCGTGTGCCAGGGCCTGAGGACATGGCAGGCACAGGGGTGGAATGTGGCGGAAGAGTGCAGCGTGGCACGGGGATGTGGTGGGAACAGTCAGGACACTGTGTGGCACGGGGACGTGGTGGGAACAACCAGAACACAACGGGCACCAGGAGGCAGCAGGACGTGGAACGAGGACAGGATGGACACCAGGACACCGTGTGTGTGGCACGAGGACAACGCAGTGGATTCTGGGACGTGGCGGTCACAGGGACACAGATTGGCACCAGGACATGGCGTGGCACAGGGACACAGTGGCCACCGGGCTGGGCCATGAGTGGCACCAGGACACAGCGTGGCATGAGGATTTGGTACCAGGGCACAATGGGCACCGTGACACAACAAGGCACGAGGATGTGGTGTGACACAGGGACACAGTGGTGACAGGCCGCAGTGGGAGCCATCGGGCCATGACTGGCACCAGGACACGGTGCAGCACGAGGACACAGCACGAGGACACGGTGGGCACCGGGACACGGCGTGGCACGAGGATGTGGCGTGGCATGAGCACAGGATGGGTTCCAGCACACGATGGGCGGGAGGACGGGACGCCTGCAGTGCACGACGTGTTGGGCACAAGGACATGTGGCACAAGGACAGGGTGTGGCACGAGGACACGCCCTGACACAAGGACACGGTGCAGCACGTGGACGTGGTACGAGGATGTGGCACGAGCACACAGTGTGGGCACAAGGACGTGCGCCCTCCACGCCCTGCCTGGCACCCCCAGCCCCCGTGGGCACCACAGAAGGGGAAACTGAGGCAGGGGACAGCCAGGGGGTCTCCCCCTTCCTGTGCCTCAGTTTCCCCCGTCCCCACACAGAGCCACCCTCACCACGTGCAGCGGCCACGGCGGTGATGTTGCCGCTGTCCCCCCTCATGCTGTCACCCAGATGCCACCCCCAGGCTCCCACTGCCACCCCCGGGCCCCCCGGGCACTGCCCACAACCCCCATGGCACCGGGGGGGGGAACAGAGAGACGCCGAGGGGGGGACAGGGGGACAAGGGGGTGCCGGGGGGGGGGCCGTGGGGGACAGGTGACACACGGATGGAGGCGATGGACGGACGGACAGATGGATGGATGGACGGACGGCGGGACAGAAGGATGGGGGGGTGGGCTGCACCCCCTGATCCCCAGAAGCCCCCCCAGCGGGGAAACTGAGACACGAGACCCCCCCCCCACACACACACGGCGCGACCCCCCAAATCGGCCACCCCACCGCCCAAACACCTGGGACCCCTCCATGGGGTGGGACCCCCCGTGGGGTGGCCCCACCGGGAGGTCACAGCCCCCCGTACCCCAGCACTCGCCCCCTCCCCAGCCTTGGGCACGGACGGGTCCTCCCGCCCGGCACAGGACCCGGGGGGTCCGGGACCCCCAACCCCCCCCGGGACACCGAGTCACGACCGCGGGCACGGGGGGCACCGGCTGCACCGCCCCCCGTCTGCGGGGCACCGACAGGGACACCGAGACACGGTCGGGGCGACCCCCGGGCCCCCCCAGGCCCCCCGGGCCCCCCCGGGCCCGTACTCACTGGGGGGGGCGGCCCTGGCGGGGTCGGCGCAGGGAGGGGCCCAGGGGGGCGCGGGGTGGGTGGGGGTCGCCGCGGGGCTCTTGGTGAAGATGCCGCTGATGAACTTGAGCATCTTTCGGTCGCGGGTGGAGGCGCGACCCCCCTCGCGGCCCCGCTTCAAGCCCGTCTCGGGTGGGGGGGGGCGCGGGAGTCAGAGCCCCCGGCCCGGGCTGCAGGTCGCTGTAGTCCAGGGTCTTGCTCTTGCCCTTGTGGGGGGACAGCCGGGCCCGGGGGGGCCCCTCGGCCTTGGCCCCCGCCTTGGGGCGCCCCTTGCCCTCGCCCTCGGGCCACGAGAGGCGGCTGCCGGCGGGTTTGGGGGGGGGCTTGCTGCCCCGGGGGTCGGGGG